TGTTTATCTGTTAGGAAAAATTCTGAAATATTGTTTACAAAGCAACCGCGATCAGTCACAACGTACAACTTCGTACGTACGTACATCAGTTCAGGCTGTCATACCCGCATTAGCACACAAACACAACTGTCAGTTCAAATCCAATAGTAGTGTAGTGAATGAGAACACAGGTGGGGCAACCGAATTGTATTTAGCGAAAATTACAGAGTTACTCAGTAAAATCGGAAAACCATATCGTAAATTGTTCATTTGCAAAAGATCAGTTCATCCTATGGAACTGGACTGTTCCTGTTGCCAAACATCAATCCATTGTCAGTATTCATGCGTTTCATACAAATTCCATTGTTTTCTAACTCTTCCTTTCTTGATCTTCCCCCCATATTATGCTACCAGACTTTACGTTGACACTCACGCCATACACTACTTATAAGTAGTTCGCACCACAGCACCACACTCGTCCCCCCTTTTAATAAGCTGTCGTCGTAGTCCTTCAAAACAGAGCCCCTGGTCAGTTAATATCACCTTCCGTATTCCGTGACACGCCACAATATGCCGGATTACCACTTCGGTCATCGTTCTTGATCACTGGTCTGGAATGGATACGGCATCTATCCAACGTGTAGCGTTTACCAGTTCCCGATGCTGGAACACGGCGGCAGGCACACACTCGATAAATTGCGACGCCAAAGACTGTGCCCCGCCCACTCCTCACGGCTTAATCCGGTGAGCTCCACAGCAAGCACCAACAGGTCACCATCAGCCGACAGCCGCGCCAACCGGAACCTCTGCGACGCCTCCTCCTTGTCCGCTGGGCTGTCGAACTCCATTATCAGCCGCCCGGTGACCGCCTCCCACGCCGCCTCCTCGGTGGCACCGTCCAGGCTGTCGCGTACCGCCTTCGCCTCACCTCCCCGCAGCGTCCCCAGCACCGTCAACTCCGCCCCAGGCCCCCACCAGCTCCACCGTGGCCCCAAACTCCTCCAGGGAGCTCCGCCAATCTCCGTCCTGCAACTCCTTCGGCCACAGGAGCCCCCCCCTTCGATCCTGGCAGCGACACCAAATGTAGTGAATGAGAACACAGGTGGGGCAACCGAATTGTATTTAGCGAAAATTACAGAGTTACTCAGTAAAATCGGAAAACCATATCGTAAATTGTTCATTTGCAAAAGATCAGTTCATCCTATGGAACTGGACTGTTCCTGTCGCCAAACATCAATCCATTGTCAGTATTCATGCGTTTCATACAAATTCCATTGTTTTCTAACTCTTCCTTTCTTGATCTTCCCCCCATATTATGCTACCAGACTTTACGTTGACACTCACGCCATACACTACTTATAAGTAGTTCGCACCACAGCACCACAGTAGTAGTAGTACGATAGTAGAAGTATTAGCAGTAATCGGAGAAAAGATTAGAGTTCGAAGATATAATTCGAGATGAAAGCACATTCGAAACTAAGGTTGATTTGTTCAGACAGAATCTAACCATCCTGTATATCTAATAATCTATGCATACTAATTCAGATTTACACTTTTCAAACACACCCATCATTGGATATGAATTACAACTAAGAAATTTCTAATTGAAATTGATATTTTTCAAAATGAAATAACAGTCACAGTCTGTAAATTTTCACAAATCCATTTATGAAATTTGCAATGGAAAACTTATTCACACTAACTAACTAACAAATATCTATCAGTAACAACACTTTGTAGACAAATATTTTAAACAGATACATTAACTGAATGATTGATTCATTTAGAACATAAAATTTAAATGTTGAAACTGTCACTAATTATTATGACATACTTCTTCTACACAAAAAAAAACAATTCAAGAACGAAAGATTAGTGATGTATGATGAAACGTTAAATTAATTACCTATGTGTTCCAAAAACTGCATCAGCATCTGGTGCCCCTTTTGGATGGTTATACTTTACCCAACGATCACGATTCACATTGATAGGGAATTGATGAGCCAAAACAGCATCCGGACCGCCGTAATGACCTAGAAATGTATTTTTTTTTAAAAACAACCAAAACACATTTTTGTGAACTCGTGCCAATCACACAATATAACTCATAAATTTCTACATTTAAATAACCAAACTATCATACAACAGAATAACCTACAGACAGACGGGTCACCATACAACGTCAGCGCACAGAGACGTAACTGTCAGTTCAAATCCAAGAGTGGTAACGATAGTAGAAGTATTAGCAGTATTGGAGAAAATTAGGGAGCGAAGGTATGATTCGAAAGTGTCATTCAGTGAGATGAATTTAGGAGAAAGATAGAGATTATGAGAAATTCAGAAGGTTAGAATTAAAAAGCACACAAAGAGTGAAGGCATCTGCGCCATTGCAAACAATTCTGAGCCATGTCGTTCAAGGTCTTTAACTATTGGTGACTTTCGTCTCGCGGACCCCAACCAGGTTAGTCTACATCTACCAACATGACTCAGTCCACTTGTCAGGGACTTCATGGATTTGTGACATGTTTTGGTCTGGCCGCCCCTAGCTTCCTTCCAACCTACCCCTACACCACCAAACATCGCTCGTCGCGGCAGTCGGTGGTTAAGCATACGTAACACATTTCCCAACCACCAGAAATGATCAACTTTCAATGCTTCATCTATTGAATAACCTACGAAAAGTATTGTAATAATAGAGTTATCAATTACAGATTTGAATTTTTTTTTAAAAAAAAGAACCATTATCAACTAAGTGTTGACTAACCCCATTCCATTTCTTCTTCTTTCTGCGCTTCATGCATTTCAAGCACCAGTTGTTTCATTCGAGCTTTTTCTTCTCTCTCTGCAGCTGCAGCTTGAATATAACGTGCTGCAAATTGTACTGAATCAGGGACTGCCAACGGAATTAGATACGGTTTATTACCACGACGTGAAACTAATGTAAAAGGTACAGTATTCTAAAACAATGATAAGAAAAAAGAAGTTATAGGATTAGAAACAAAAAAAGACGTCAATAAGCGTGATTTTCCACAGCGAAATCACAACATATATGAAGAGTAAGTATAGAAAGAAATACAAGACATCAGTGCTGAAATACATACAGTACTCAAGTATCTTTAAAGTATAACACCATTGCCCGTCGGGTGAAAGTATATTCAGGCAGTAAATCAGTATTTAGCATCAACATTTCAACGCATTTAGCTTTATAACATTCAAGATGATCTGTGATGTACAACTCTATTTCACTGAATAATACTTCTCGAATAAAATCTTCGAACCCTAATCTTCTACATTACCAGTAATATTTCTACTATCTCTACCACTATGGGATTTGAATTGACAGTTGCGTCTCTGTACTGATAGGGCTATGGAAACCTGAACTTATGTACGAAGTTCTACGTTATAACTGACCAACTGTTAGCAGTATTACATCATCGCCTTTGATTAAAAAACGAAATGTTAGTTTTCAGATGTTTTATTTCAACTATGCTTAGAGAAACATTTTAAATTTAAAGTAATTTTCATACCACAGAGTAGACCCAACTTATACGGACCTACAGACAGTTTAGTGTTGAAACCAACGAAAACACAGAGCTCGTGTCCAACAGTTCCCGATGGATCACAATAACAACACTACACTAAGATCAGATTTCTCCTGTCTTCATCAATATCTATCATTTTAATACAGCAGTCTTAACGGATAACATTGACATGCATCCCGGTGCATTATTGATGAAGTGTATTTTAAATTGTGCTTTTTATATTCTTTCTTATATTATTTATCGAATCGTTTGCATTAGCGGTCTGGTCATAGTGGTATACACATACTAAGATTAGAACGATACATAGAGGATTGGTGTGGCCGCAGCGTAAAGATGACACGCAAAAATCGTGAAGCGTTCGATATATTTTTTTCCTTCCACAATGTGAGCAGCCGAAAAGTAACATCCGCCCACATACTCGTAACAGCACACGAGACCAGACTAGTCAGAATGAAATCCATGGAAAACTTTGAGTAAATAATACTTTAAAATAATAAGCAACAACAAGAAGTTTCATTCATAAATGAATTGAATGCAAACACACACACACTCCATACCTGATTATCTTCATCATTCATAGCTGACATATGAGAATTGTTCATTTTCAAATTGTCTTCATTCGAATTGGTTGGCATTGAATGAATCGGGATCGAACCACCATTATGATTCACGATTTGTTGACCAATTTTATTTGTTGTTACTAATGATGAACCACCACTATCTTTGATGGCTAAACGATTTTTTGCTGCTGCCAGCTGTAGTATATCTGGAGCAGGAAGAACATTTACACTGGGAATACGAGATGATGTAGAATTTGTATCGTTATTATTAATATTGTTAACGCTAGTTACATTAACAACAACTGTACCACTACTACTAACACTGCTACTACCAACACCACTATTCCCTGAAGTAGAAGATGATAATAAAGCTTCAGCAATCATTTTATCTAAAGCTTCACAGAATTCAGTATCTTCAGGACATGCAATAAATCGTGGCTTCAATGCATAGTCCGGATCAGTCTCGTCCTCTTCTTCTTCATCTGGTTCTTTTTCTTCTGATTTCTCCTTTAGAACAACACAATTAATTTAAAAAGACAATTTAGTGATAAGTTTTTTTTTCTTAAAAAGAAAAGATTTATAAAAAGTCAACAGACAAAATTCATTAACATATAATCTTTAATTACAACAAATTAGAAGAAAATGAATATTGATCAGATTGAAATTCTGTTATACAAGTAACACTGTTTATGGAATACTACTACTACTACTACTACTACTACTACTACTACTACTACTACTACTACTACTACTACTACTACTACTACTACTACTACTACTTCAATACATTTTTTTACGATGATCTGTGTGTGAATGGACAAAAAAATATGAAGTTTAATATTATTCCAATCAGATTTTGACTGATAAAAAGCAGGAAAAACTCAATGTATTTTGATTGATTGACTGATTATACTCGGTGAACATGAAAAAGCTTCATCTATGAAAACAGGTGCTTTTACTCTTCTAGTTAGTGGGGGGCAGGAAAAATTAGTGGTCCCGTGTTTACAGTAGTATCAGTCAGTCGGTCAACAACAACAGCATAGAACTTCGTACATGAGTACATTAGTTCAAGTTTTGACAATATGCGACATGGCGAATAAAAACGAATCTAGGGAGTTGCTAAGTGGAGCTACTTCAAATTCCTATTAGGTAAAATACGTAGGATACGTAAAAGATATTATTGAACTAATTATATCGGAGAGGTACGGATATGAAGACATATTTAATTCAAGAGTTATAGTGCTCTATTAGTAAGCTAAAGCTTAAAAGAATAAAGTATAGATAATGATGAGTGTTTAAGTCTGATGGGTATAGGTGTATGTTGAGATGATACGACTAAAGTAATAGATGCACACTGCGCCAGTTTATGTGCACAGCGTGCTTTGATGCGCCTGTCATGTCTATCATAGAGTAATGCCTTCCAGCACTATCGTAATACGTTATCATCTGCGGGGGGGGGGGGGGGGGCGGGGCTCCAACCATATGTAGTCGACAAGCGTGCAGCTGCTAACATTAGACACAATCTAAGCGCTTGTCTCTAGTGTACTTCATGGAGGGGCTTTGATGACATGTATTGCATTGGCCACACCAATAGCTTCTAATTTCCAACATCATTCATTAACTGATTCGCAAATAGTTTAGCTCTACGAGGTAGTCAGTTACAGGACATGCAGTAATCTACAGTTTTGGGAATGAGAATTATCACCACTACTTAGCTTGTCAGTACACAGTTTAAACATGTCTTTCTTCAATATTATCGCACATTATGCCTATGCATGACATGAGTGTATGATCATTATTCTCACGTCTTGAGAATGGTCTGCCTACGGGTCTGACTGCGAGAACGTGACGTACGGTACTTATTCTATCTGGAATTTCACACGGAAGTCGGGATGATTGCAGTGACCTTTTTTAGGGCGATTGATACTGGTGATGATTAATTGCGCCGCACATCTGCTTATCTATCCGATCTAGGCTCCGTCCTTTCTGGCGTGCAATCTCTCGTCAGAGATTCATCTTCATCCATACATACTCATCCGTCTATGCAAACTGAGGTAAATTGACCATGCTAGCTGAGCTATATGATTGTTGAATCTCTCTGCATACGAGTAGTAGGAGCGAAGATGAGTTACCAAAAAAAAAAGCAACTGCAGAGGTAGGGAATTAGGAGAGAGATTCAGCGTGCTCACTCGTGTACTTAAT